TAACTGCGTTACAATGTGATACATATAATCTCCTAAAATGTGATAAAACGTGATGCATATAATCTCAATTTTACATTGGACTGAACGAACCTACCGACTAATCTGATGTTCTTGGGGGCGTTGATGAATAAAGTGTGTTTACTTCTGTTGGACTGTGTCTGATTCTCCCCGCATGTTGATTGTTGAGCTTGGTCTCTGGCCTCAACAGTTTTTTTACCTTGAATTTCTGCTTCACTTAAAGCATCTTATTCAAGCGTGCTGTTTCTTTTCTATGTAGAACTTGAGACAAAGAGAATTTTGCTTGATATTTTCAAAGAGAAGCAACAGAAAAGTGTTGAAGCTGGGACGATACCTAGTTTTTATAAGAAGGCATGTGATAAATTTTTTTTCTTGGGTGACTGACTTTGAAGTTTATATATTAGTACAACGCGTGGAGTAAAGTGAGTTGTTCTTTGTATTTTTGGTAATTTTGATTTGTGATTATGCTTATTGTATGAGTTTATTGTTAAGTATTTGTGTTCTATTGGTTCAGAAGCCTGAAGAAGGATCAATTAGTCACCGGGTCCAAAGGCTTGCAAAATATCGTTTTTTGAAGGTATAATGTGTTTCCTGTTTTTTTCTTGGTAGCAATATTGAATTTTTGCTTGTATCAATTTTTTATGATATAATTTGTGTTTTCATGTTTGTTTCTTGCAACAATATATGAATTTATATACTTTACTGATTGTTTGCTTTTTTTTTTTTTTGCAGAAACAGTCTGATTTGCTGCTAAACGCTGATGATCTAGATGCAATGTGGGTTTGTTTGAGAGAAAATTGTGTGATTGATGATGCCACTGGTGCAGAAAAGGTCTGCTTATATTTTATCTTAATTACTTTCTCTACCATGCTATGCTAAGATGCCATCCAACTTCTCCTTTATTTGCTATTAGTTACTGATTGTTCTGAAACCTTACTAATCTAAGGTGCTCACTTGGCTGAATCTTAGGTGCTTTTAGTCACTCACTATTCTCTGGAATGATATTCTAGGGAGCTTAAGAGGCATATGTCCTGTTTTTGTTTATGTATTAATTTAAATTACCGATTTGCAGGTTACTAATTTGTTATTATGCCATTTTTATGGTATCATGTATCCATATATCAGCTGTCCATGCATACAAGTGGTGGTGATATTTACACCTCTATTTCCTCTTTTAGTGACAGTGAGCTCATCATAGTTGTTGAGAATGATGTGATTAATTAGGATCCTTCTCAAATTCAAAGGAAATCCTTTTTTATGGCATTTGTTATTCATCTCTAGAATGGAATATTTTTGGTTCAATTATCTCCATGTATCTATATTAATGTTGCTGCGAAGTTGTTAGTTATTCTGTTATATTCATGTAAGTTGATGCTAAACAAATGTATTAAGACTGATCTACTTTTTCTTCATTTTGACTCTAACTATTGGCTTTTTATAGTCTTCCACTATGTAATTTAATCTGTCCATAATGCTAATAAATCTTAAAATTGTCCTTTATCAGATGAACTATGAAGACTTTTGTCACATAGCTTCTGTATGTACGGAGCAAATTGGCCCAAAATGTCGACGCTTTTTTAGCCCGTCAAATTTCATGAAATTTGAGAAAGATGAGTCAGGAAGGATTGTCATTCTGCCTTTCTATTTATACGTCATGCGAACGGTGGGTTTTTCTTGATCTTTTAAGATATTCTTCTTCATATTTATTAATTTTCAGGAAACATGTTATCATGAAAATATATTCCTGCCTTGGACCTTGAATAATACTGTATTTGAAGAAAATGATCTATGAAGCTTACCTGTCTTCTAAGTATTTGGATCTTAGTTTTACTTATAATACTTAATGTGTTTTATCTTTGTTGAGGTCATTTTCCAGCCTAAATGAATAATAATTACCATGTTTTGATGGGTTGAAACAAGAGAAATCAGCAAAACAGTTGAGCAGGCTTAAATTAATCAAGTTAGTAGTTCAACTGTTCTATAGATGTTTTCAAGTTTTTAACTGATTTTCTTGACTTTCTATTTTTCTGTGAACTATTATCTATTGTTGACTTTGAAATTTATTCTTCTCAACTGTAGTCATAGGCTTTAGGATCACCTTCTTCTGACCAGACACTGAATTATAAATGTTGTTGCTCACGTCATTCCTGCACATGTCCAGAATAGAGCCAAGATTGGCTTAGAATAATTTATGCAAGCTTCGTAAGAATAAAATTGTTCCAAATAGAATCATCTTCTTTTTGAAATAAAAAGTATGATATATATACTAACAAGGTACCAAGAGGGCACCACCCTTATAAAACAGATTTATAAGTGTGTTAGAATATCAATGACATTCCCAAAATTCTCATCTCTAATAATGTCATACTCTAACAAGATGGACCCAAAAAAATGATACCATCTATTTCTCAACGTATATGATGATGATAGCTCTTTACCCTCAAAAGTTCTAAAATTACTTTCTTTCCAAATGACCCAAAAAATAGTCAATAGAATCAGTTTTACAGTCCTTTTTTTTTAATATAATCTCTCCCATGCCAAAATTTCACCCTTGACAAAGCCTGCCATCACCCAATTAATCTCCAAAAGCCCACAAATCATGCTCCATAGATCATAAGTCACTGGACCCCATAGGAGCAGATGGTTGCAAGACTCCGCTTCTTTCATGCACATGTAACATCTGTTTACCATAACGTGTCCTCTAGTCATCACCTTATCAATAGTCAGAATGCATTCCCTGCTAGCCTACTGAGCAAAAAAAGTAATTCTAGGGGTGCCTTAGATTTCCAGATGTGGTATACTGGTTGGTTGTGGCTTCTGTCAGGATCACTCATCACTAAATGCTTGTAATACGATTTGACTGGGAAATTTCCATTCTTATTCAGTTTCCACTACACCTGATCCGGACCAGAATTTATCTGTTGTGAGGCTAAAAGTAATAAAACAAACAAGGCATCTTTCGTTCTGAAATGAAACTGTGTTAATCCAAGCTTGTAATGGTGTAAATGTGACTCAGTTGGAGGGCCGCCCAACTATGGAGGCCAAAACAAATGTTCAGGCAACGACCAACATCAATCAAGATCTCAAAAATAGAAGTATGCATCAAATCTTTTTCCTTTGCCTTAGAAAAGCTACACAGATGCACCTAATTCCAAAAGTGAAGTTGTCAGTTTCACCCTTTTTGAAATGTTGCTCTTTCAAAAGGTTTCCTCTTGTTGTTTCAACTTGGCAAAATACTATAGGATGGTTCATTCTCTACCCTCGTTGCCACTTTTTGTAGGATGATAGAATATTCTCTTATGTGAAAAAAAACATGGCTCAAACCATGCTCTAATACCAATTGGTGTAGGACATATTAAGGTCAGTTTGTCTCCTTGGGAAGAAGGGGTTGCCTTTAACTAGATATGACAATTTGGATCTCTTAAGAATCACACCTAAGGAGAGGTTTGAGTGCATCACACAATTACAGTTGCATCACAGGATCATAAGCATAACTGCTCTAAATTCTCTGAATTATTGCTGTTGTCTCGAAAGAGATTATCTCTATTTAATCCTAATCTAATTAGAACTAGAAAACTTAATAAGAATCTTAAAAGAATTTAAGCATAAACGAAATCCCAATACTTTTCTACATCCTAATCTTGCCCATACTACTATAATGAGTTTCAGATATGAAAGAACTACAATTTGTAGTCAACTTAGGAAACCTACATAACTAAACTTCTACTGCATTAGATTCTGTGGTAAGGTGGAGTTTGACTGTTTTTATTCAATCGAGCATTTTAGTATGTAAGTATATGTTTTTGCCTCAGAGGATATTTACCAGTTTCCACATTCTCGCATCATTTTTTACTTGTGTCGTTTGTGCTTCTCTCTCATGGTTGCTGCTTTATATTGTTGTCCAGGTTTCACTTACACAGGCCAGGATTGATATGAGTGAGTTAGATGAGGAT